AGTCTCGTTCGGTTGAAATCCATTAGAATCGTCGCGTTAAAACGTTTAAAAGGGAAAGTACGTGGAGATGGAAAGATCGAAGGCGTTTCGAATCCCACGAGACACGGTCTGACCCTGTTACACCATATCCCCGGCGAACGATAAATCAGCTCGACGAAGAAGAAGGAATCCTCGCGAGCGAGTCATCGCGCCGGAATAACGAGGGAAAAAGATTCTCTTCGCTGATTTGGAATGAACGAGATCTTTCGTGGACGACGATTCTTCGCGATTCTTCCTCGCGATTCTTTGAGATCTCGTCTTCGGCGAGAGCCCGAAGAGATTGAATCAGGGATGAAACTTCCTATGCGTGTCTCTATTTCTCCGTCTCTTTTTCTCGAAAGGAGGAAGACGACCTAGTCAAGCTACCGGTATAATGAGATAACGGTCAGCTTTCGAGCCGGAACCGATTCTAGTCGACGGTCCGCGACCCTTTTGTCGTCGTTCGTTACGCAAGAGCGCGGACGAGACCCTCCGCGAGGAGTGAAAGAAGAAGAAGAAGGAGAAGAAGAAGAAAAGAGTAGGAGTCTCCGATGACTCATCTCTCGCTTCGGAAAGATAGATGGACAGATAGATGGATGGATGGATGGATGGATGGATGGATGGATGGATAGGATAGATAGAAAGATAGATAGATAGATAGATGGATAGATAGATAGATAGATAGATAGATAGATAGATAGATAGATAGATAAATAGATAGAGAGAGGGAGAGAGAGAGAGAGAGATCTTGGCGATAATTACTATACGATGATACGCAGGATTCTTCCGAGACACGCGTGAATGATCGTTCCTTCGAACTCTACTGGTACGTACGTATTTTTCAAATAAACGCTTCGATTCCGAGCGGATGAGTTTCAAATGTATCGTCGTTGCCTCTGGCAACTATTATCGTCTACGTTTTGTACGTAGATAACGACGAGAGAAGAGGCGAGACTCTCTTATCTATCGACGCCTCTTTCTCTTTTTCCCTTTATCGTTTCGATATTCAACACGAGTTTAATTCGTCCATTCGAATAAAATTCGATGTTTCTGTTTTTCTTATTAAATTAACGAACCAACGTCGGAACGTTATAATGATTTATCTACGTATAGGCGATTTGCACGTTTAGTTTACCAAGCGGAACTTTAGACGTGCGAGAGAAACGTTATCGGAGTGGGAGAAGACAAAGAGCCGGTCCAAGAGTGGAACAGAGAGGAAAGCAAGATAGGAGATATTCTTGAAGCTCGGAAGCTGACAGTGACGAGGGAACAAAGTTATCGGGTGTGCTATTCGCTCGAGGCCGATTGGAATGGATCCTCGTTTCAATACACGGAAGTTCTTTGACAAGTTCGCGACGATATTTTATAAAAATATAATACATACGTCATTATACACTTCAATTTGATTATTTTCATATAAAAATTGCTATTTAGTGTCGCAAAAAAGAAGAAAAAAAAAAAAAAAAAAAAAAGAAAAGAAGAAAAAGAAGACGAGAAAAAACAGATTGTAAATCAAAGGGCTCGCGTTAGGAGCTACCCACGCGTACGTAGGTATCTGGGCACGCTCGATGAACGGGAGAATGCTGCGGGATCGTATCGCGATTTTGCGGTCTTATCATCGGTATCGAAGGTGTCATATCGAAGTCGTGCCTTCGTCGTTCGACTGGAAACCGGTTCATCAGACTCTAGCAAAGTTCATTGATTCTCGCTGATCCGCGAACGCTTCCTGCTCCTTCGCCGTGCCGGTTAAACGAGCGCACGCCCGTCTCCTTATTCTCTTTTCTACCGGCTAATGAGGCAGAAAGATTAGAAGATGAAGAGAACGCGTAAGAGGGACGAGAGTCGAGTTCCTCCGATTAAAATATACGCATAGATTAGGTATAGGTATTATATGTACGTATAAGCGTGTATTCGTCGATTGGACGAGGATAAATTTCCGTAGATCGAACGAAGGAATATTCTTATCGTTCACCACGCCCAACGACACAGCTCACCACGGTGACCTGGAAAAGCAGCCTGCCCGACATCTTTTATGTCCCTCCGCGAAAGAACAAAAACCAGTTCGTGGAGAAACGCGACCTAAAGTGCGACTGGCCACGTTCCCCCTCCCCCACCCTTCTCTCTCTCTCTCTCTCTCTCTCTCTCTCTCTCTCTCTCTCTCTCTCTCTCTCTCTCTCTCTCTCTCTCTCTCGATGCTTTATTACTTCAGCAAGGAACGAGTAATCGCGCATTAAATTTCTCCCAACGAAAAGTCCATTTCGTTTTATCGGGCAATCTTTGCGGATTTTCGAAGCCCCGTAATCGTCGTCGTCTTAGGTTGCCTTTCAAACTTAACCTCGTTTCTAGAAATTCGTTGCCCATAGAATAAAAGTGACGAGACGTGGGACGATGGGAATCGATGGTCTTCTTTCGAGCGATAATTGCCTTTAAAGCGGTAATTACCTCTTCGAACACGCCGAGCGCCGGTAGACGCAACACAACCGTTAATTGCTTACATTGTTCTCGACGTTCGTCGCTACGACCCACATATTTCTATCTCTTTCTTTCTCCTTCGTTCTCTCAAACGAGTCCGAAAGCAGAATCGTACTACCGATCGTTTTCCCTTCCTACTGAAATCGAATGTGTGTGTGTGTGTGTGTGTGTATGTACATGCGTGCGTGTGTATATACACGTGCACGAGAGAGCATCGGGCTAAGAGAATAATCGGAAACGTAATAAATTCGTTCGTTTCTTGCGATCTACTGTTCCACATTCGGAGAACGATATTTGCGTTCGAGTTTAGACCTCTTGGTATCGTTTTTTCAATATTTTCTCAAGTACGTGGGAAAATTCGACAAAGTGACCATGCGTCGCGACGCGCCCATAAATGGTGCGGGCGATAGTCCATGGTCGCTCGCGACCCCACCACGATGATGATGGTCGAGAGCAACGAGGCTTCTCCAAAAATAGGACGACGACAACGACAGCTCTCAGACGACGCCGACGAAGACGACGACGACGACGACGACGACGACGAGTCGAAACGTTTGCAAATTATTTCACGCAATTTTCAAGAGGAAGCTGAGATTGGAATACGAGACATTTCCTATACACCTATAGTGTAAAATCGATCTCTAACGATTCTCAAATTGACCTCACCCATCGAAAGGTCTTTGTTTTTGTAAAAATCATTATATATATATATACATATATATATATCCCCGTTTCTCTCTCCTTCCCTCTCTCTCTCTCTCTCTCTCTCTCTCTCTCTCTCCTTCTCTCTTTCTCTATTTATAGACGGGGACACACCGTTCAAAAGCCAGTACACATCGAAGCTAACGAACCTGAATTCTTTGAGCTTCGTCTTCTCGCGCGAAAAGCACAATGCCCTTCCTCGTCGAATCCTCCCCGTGTATTTCGGATCCCGGAAGTCGGAACGAATTCTTCTCGATGAAGGCATTCTTTGCCGATGACCGAGCCTCTCTATAATCTCGAGCGTAAGATTAGATGACCGAAAAGTTCGCTTACGAGATGTAATAGGGAAAGGAAGGGGAGAAAAAACGAAAAAAAGAAAAAAAGAAAATGTTAATCTCGTTAACGAGACTCTCGTTTCTCTTTAACGTTTGAACCCAATCGAGAATCGATCGTACGAATCGCGAGACAATTAGAACGAAGAGCGTACTGGTAACGCGTGGGAAGACGCGTCCGTTGTTTTCACTGACACTCGGAGAGAGAAGTCTCTAAAGCGAGCGGAAGAGGTTGGGCAGTCAAGAAAGTTCTCCGTGGCGTCCAGTCGTGAAGACAATCGGGATACATATGCCGACCAATTAAAGCCACGGCCCACGTTAGATTTTTCCCTTCTCTTCTGATTCTTCCGCTTCGATAACCTCCACCCCCGCCATATTCTATCTTACGATACGTTTTCCGAAACATTATCTTACCTTCGAAAATGTACCTAAATATTTCGAGTATGAAAACTCTGTTGCACATTTGACTCAGCCTGTATATATAATAAGAAGATATTACACGCCCACGGCATGATATCTTCGTCGTAATAAGGCTTAATTCCTACCGGACGAATTAAAAGAAAAAAAAAAAAAAAATAAATAAATGAATAAATAAATAAAAAAAAAAAGAAAGAGATAACTCGTTTAACATCCCTTTTCCTTGATTGGCCTTGGCTACTTCAAATTTATCTACAAATTTCCCCCCGACGGTTGAATTTCGTTTAGAAAGGAAGAAAAAAGGAGGAAATTAAAAAAAAAAAAAAAAAGAAAACAAAAAAAAAAAAGAAAACAAAAGAGAAAAGAAGAGAAAAGAAACGCCTTTGCGCTTTTGTTCGTGCTATCAATGAACTCTACCCACGTGCCTGGCCTTTCCTCCTTCGAGAATCTCTTAACGCGTATGTAGGTGTCTCGTCGTTCTCACCTCGCTCGGTCTACGTATAATTGTACGCGGTATTATCTCTTTAGCCACGGTCATCGAATCTAACGCGAGCCGTGTCCAACCGAGATGGAACGATTTCTAAGAAATGACTTTTATTTCCTTCCGGCTTTTAAACTCGGAATTTCTTTTGAAAAATATGCTCTTCAAAGGTGTGCGTACGAGAAGCAGTCCGAGAAGCGTCTGCTAGTCGTCTGGTTCCTGTCTACTATCGTCGCTCGTTAATTGCACCGTCCTATCTACCGGTCATGCTTATTACCGTCCGCGACAATGGCCAAGGTGCAAGGATAATCGCGTTATCGGTTAAACGTTTACAGTCTCGCGCGAACTCTCATTAAAACACAACGGCTCGTTAATTCGATTTCTGATCGTAACGAGAGTTACGCCGAGTTAACGCTTTTTCTTTCTTATTTCGAACGATATTTTTCTTTCCTTTTTTTTTGTTTCTTTTTTTTTTGCGATTCGTGTATTTGTAAAATACCATCGGATTAGATTAGAAAATATTTGTAATTCAAGGAGGAAATAAATAATCATCACTGATTATTATTAGAAAGACTTACCACATGGCTTGAACAGAGACCGGCTTGAAGATGTGCTGTCGACCGCAAACGCTGACGCTGAAGCCCCTGTAACAGAGAAAAACGAATCCGGAAGTGAGATATTTGCGTGTCTTCGAGCAAAGTCGACCTTATGGAATAGAGGGTGACTCGATCGATCGTCGTCGACGTCGTCGTCGTCGTCGTCGTCGTCGTCGTCGTCGTCGTCGTCGTCGTCGTCGTCGTCGTCGTCGTCGTCGTCGTCGTCGTCGTCGCATCTACTCGATGCTATTTTATATTGACACGAAACGGTCCTCTCTACAACAGCCGGTTTTGTAGTTAGCTTGCTGCTATTTCGAGAAGCATACCGACTTGCTCGCGCTACTTCAACATTTTAGACGATGCACGAGCTTCGATACGCCTCTCGGTATTACGCAATAACGATGCAAAAAAAATGCACGTGACACGCGAGGACGATCGAAAGATTTGTTCCTTTGTTCTCTTCGTTAATTCAAACGTTAATTACGCTTTAAGCAAAAGAATGAAGAAGATTCGTCGATCGACCCTTTCGTTCGGTCGCTCGATCGATCGGTTTCTCAAGAAAGAATAAATAAACGAATGACGCAAATTTCATTGCAATGAAATGCATTTTTCTTATTCCCATTTCAATATGAGCTCTCGTTCGACAGCGATATCTCCCATTAAAATCACAAAGTGGAAGAAACGGTACGACGAGGAGTCGTCGTTAGCGTGCACGCACGAGCAAGGAAACAACAATGCCCGTTGAGAAAATTCGCGGTTATTATCTTACCGTCGATGAGCGACATTTCCTAGCGGATCGCGACTAGTCGTTCTCTCGCGATCGTGATCCGAATGCCGCAATTTCGGTCTAAGAACCGTGTTACGCTCGCTCTCCTGACGTACTTTCTTTCGTAACAACGCAAGGGGAAGTCGTGGCATGGGCGTGTTTCGGAACACAAATACGAACGGAAGGAAAATCTACTTCTTCCCGATCATTCTAAGCAATTTCTTTCTCTCTGAATAATTCTCGTTCAATTAGTTACTGAAATTAATTAACGTCCGTATTTCGCGATGGTATAATCAGAGAGATCCTCGAATAATAGAGACCGAAACAGAAAAAATGCTCTTTCTTTTCGATGCGCGAGAAGAGAAAAGAAAAAATGAAAGATAAGGAAGAAAAAAAAAAAAAAATTGCAGGATCGCACCGTTATCGTCTCGATCTTCCTCTCTCTCTCTCTCTCTCTCGGTAAGTACGTACCGAACACGACCGGTCTTCTTCTCAGTTAACTTCGTAATATTCTCTCCGCCGATTACAGTTAACCCCTTGGCAGGCGAGAGGATTCCAGGAACAAATTTGATCGCGCATCTTTGGCCGAAGGGCGCGGAATTTCGAACGGTAATAAGAGCCGTCCGTTAAACGCGGTTAACAAAGAACGAACGCGAATTCCTTTTCTCGGAAAGAAGAGAAGACCGAATATCCCTTTCTAAGCTCTTGAATTTATCCATTGACTTCTGGCTTGCGACCTTCGAGGCTGACCTTGGTGTTCACCTGTCAAGTACCTTGCCCCTTACTTACCTTACGGTAACGCGCTCCATTTCCCTATGCCCGCATACGAGAACGAGAGAACGCCGTTGACCTTCGCGCTAGCCTCGCGAGCAACACTCGGTAGCCAAACGAGCCGGCCATTATTTTCTTTCCACTTTGAGCACGAACGTACATCCACTTTCTTGAGACCGATCAACGTCAACGATTATAATAACGGATCGGAGATAAATAGAATTAAGAGAAATTGACTTACCCATCGCCGTCTAAAGTAATGGCAGTATCGGCTAGAACTCGAAGGACAAGACCAACGGTTGCTCTGGCATGACAATCGATACCGAGTAGGCAACTTTCCTCGGCATCCTGTCGGCCTGTACAGGATACCACGACGAGATATCTCGTTCTTCCTGGATGTACCGACTCCAGTTTCACCGCCTGGAACAACAAACGCCGACATTTTTCTTTATTTTTTCCGATAAAAATTTTCTAAGGAAAATCTTTCAGCGAGCTACTAAGAATTTTTTCGAGAGGCTTCCCTCATCTTTCGAATCGCGCGTAGAATTTTACGTTACATGGTCGTCGTCGTCGTCGTCGTTGACGTCGTTGGCGCATAGTAAAAGTCGTCTTTAAAGGTCGACGACACGACACGATGCAAGACAAGATGCAAGACGTTGGCGTCTGGGTGAAGTGAAATTGCACAACAACCACAAATCACCGTGTTACTTCCTTCCTTCGTCCTATTCCCTCTGTTCCTTCCAATTAAACTTTTTTTTTCCTCTCTTGGATCTTGACGACTATCGGTCGTTTACTTTCATCGATAGCAAAATTTATTTTACTCAAAGAGTGGGGAGGGGAGAGAGAGAGAGAGAGAGAGAAAGTCATATCCTGTCTCTCTCATATTTTTCCATTTGACATTCTATGTAATAGCTAAGAAAGTTACTAATAAATGATAATCTCTTTCTCTCTCTCTCTCTCCTCTTTACCGGCCATTTTTCTTTTTATCTTATTCTCGAGATATTCCGTAAATTGTTTCCCGGTTTCTTTCGCCATCCAAGATAATTGCAGAGGACGAAGAAGGAAGAAGTCGTATCGCTTGCAGACTCGATCATTCGCGTAATAAGTCGGAAGATATCGCATAAAGAAGGCTTTGATTGGTCTCGGTGCGAGCGTAACTCGACTCGGTGAACGACTTCTTCGAGAATATTTTCACGAACGCGATGGCGAAATAAGAGGCAGGTGCGGAAAATCGTTATCGGTTTACTTGGAACGAAACCTTCGATAAATGACTCATATATTTCTCTTTCTTTCTCTCTCTCTTCCCTCCCCCCCCCCCCCATCTATCTCTTTCTATCATACTACTTCCTTCAAGAGGAATTTCAACGTAGGAAAAAAATCATCGACCGAGCACGTACGATTATTACGCGATTGTGTACATATATAATCCGTTTTAAATTTATACCATGATAATATCTATACGGCTAATTTCTTTACCTATGTACGTATATAGGTATATACGTAGATACGTTATGAAATATCGCTCGTAGAGTAGAGGAAATCAAGAAATTGTTGTTCGAAATGAAACGAAACGGACTCGAAGACACGTGAAAGTTCGAGTCGGTTTTAATAGAGAGATATGGGTCTATACTCGTTTAAAGAGTAGAAAGGATAGTTAAAGAAAAAAGAAGAAATAATAAAAATAGGTTAGATTAATAATCTCTTGAAACGTTCCCTCTTACGCAAGTCGAATAACCGAGTCGTAGTTTAGCGAACGAAGCGATCGAACGTTCTAAACGTTTTAAACGACGTTGGTCGATGATTTCATTCGATGTTACGGTTTCTCGAGAGGCTTTAGCATTTAAGAGAGAGAGAGAGATGGAGAGAGAGAGAGAGAGAGAGAGAGAGAAAAAGACAGCATGGAAGATAAAGGCAAAGACGGATATTCCACTTCGCGATTCACCTTTTATCGTTTAAGGAGAGGCTCGTCGTACTCGTATTTATTCCCTCCATAATTACTTCTCCTATCACGCTCGTTTAACTCGCGGAGAGTGCTATAGAACGATTCGGGTCAACGATTTGCAGATGAACGCGCTCGGATAAAATCATTGACGACTATCTTTTGCGCTTGTTAAACTCGAATGATTTTTTTCTGCTCGGTCGGTCACAAATTTCCTTTCTTACTGACGTTTAAAAGAGGGAGAGAGGAGAGAGAAGGGAAACAAAACAAAGAAGAAAAACTTGCAGCGAGATGAGAGTGATCGTTGGTTCGGAGAGGATGCAGAAACTAGTCGGGGACACGGTGGACTGCTTGCGTCCAGCCGCATGGATAACGTTCCTTCGAGTTCTCCGATTACAACAGCGCAATTAGGCGCGAACGATTCTCAGGTGCGGCTCTAAAGAGAGAGGGAGAGAGAGAGAGAGAAAGAGAGAGCGAGCGAGCGAGAGAGAGAGAGAGAGAGAGAGAGAGATGAAACCAACACCTTCTTCAAACGTATTCCTCCACTTTTTCTCGACGTTCCAATAAAGTGGTAGACATTTTTCTGTAACGAGAGAGTCGATATTAATAGCTTTTAATATCTCGAGAAAACAACAAAAAAAAAGAGACAAAAAAGGAGCACGAAATAAATTATCTCCGGCACGAGAGAGAGGCGTTATAGGAAAGGAAGAAGCATGATTTCTCGCGCGAGGGAGCGTCGACCCGACGATTTCCTTTTTAATCCTCTTGGAGAGCCTCGGGAAAGCGTTTTCCTGATTGTCGATTAATGACGCGCGATTGTGAACGAAGACACGAAAGCAGGATATGATAATAAGACATAGGCGCGTCCTAAATGGAAAAACAAAGAGGGTGTAAAAAAGGAGAAGAGGGAAGGACGAAAGAAAAAAGGCAATAGGAACGGAAAGATGATGACGTAGGGCGAAAGCTAGCTCGATGGAATAAGTTCTATCGACAATGACGCCGGTCGTGAACGTCGGTCGAGAAAAGGGAAAGGCGGAAAAAGCCGTTAATTTGGCACTCCTCTTGCCTCCTATCGGACGGCAGCCAGAGTTATTAATTAAAATAATCGGAAATCGTTTCCTGCCATTTTTATTACCTCTCTCGCCGCCTTCTTATCGTATTTCTCCATTTAAAGAAAGATTTGGTGAGAGCTGTATGTATCTCTCTGACTCACGCCGGTAGTTGGATAACGATTGCGTCTCGGTTTCTTTACGAAGAAAAACGAAGAAAATTAATCGAATTAATAGGAATACACGTACGCGCGCGCGTAAGTCTACGAAGAGAAGGAAAGTGGAAATGAAAGTTAACAAAGTTTCTTCCGCGGTGGACGCACCGATTATGGGATAATTAATAGAAACGATCTCACTTATATCAAGCAACAATGTTAAAAGGAGGAAGAGGGAGGGGGGGGAGGTATACGCTTCCACTTCCGGGCCTGGTAATTACGCGCACTTAACCCCGTTAAACGATTAATTAGCTGGCTCTTTATGGGACACCATATGAAACATATTTCATTTCCTCCGACGATGGCGATTGGCTTAAGCACCACGCTAAGATAACAAAGAAATCCCTCGAAGGAAATGGTGCAAAATTTATGTCTCTCTCTTTTCTTTTTTCTTTCTTACCGGGAAGATTACGTGAACAACAAGGATATAATAATCGTGGCTCAAGTTCAAGTGAGATTTCTCCGTGAGATGAACATCACGCAGAAAGATCACCACCACCACTGGTTGTTACGTGACAGTAACGAGAAACTTCGATCTCACTTTGATCGAAAGTAAACGTCATCGATTCATCGATCATAGTTCTTTTGAAAACTTTCTGCCGTCTGATTGTTTCCGATCGATTATTTTATCAAAGTTACGAAAGGCGCGTTTTGAAAAAACCCTAGCGACTCGTTGTAAAAGATAATTATAATTTTGTTATTTTTCTAAATTACATAGGCTTAAGATAAGAGTGGCTATAAATTAGGCAAGTGAAAGTTTGGTAACTGCCATTAACCATAACTCTCTCGGAGTAATTCGACTAACGTTGACTGCCTGGGCTCTCCTTTACCGCACTCCCCAATTAACAACAATCGCTGTTAAAACACACATAGTAGTAGATAAATAATAAGGAGATTTCGCTGGACGAGATCTCTCGAAAGTCATAAAGATAATTATTCTCTTCGTTCATCGCGACACGTGTACGAGCCGTGTAAAATTTTCTCCAAATTGGACATCTCGTTATAAATTATAAATCAAGTTCGAAGGAAGAACGATCGCTTTTTTTCTCGGTTACAAAAAAAAAAAAAAAAGAAAAAGAAAAAAAAAGAGGGAATCGAATAAAGAACAAAAACAAAAAAGAACTCTTCGTCTTTTTCATAGAATCGAACGATTTATGTATACACACAAAGCAAAGTATTGTCTCGTGGCGAGATACGTCAGATCGATATCTCTCGATGCTTATACACGATCTAGCGTTTCTCTCTTGGCGAACGTAAGTTCGCTAAGGTATCGAACGTTACGTGCATAATCGTATGACATAGAGCGACCCACTTACATAGATACATACATGCATAGGTATATACGTACATAGATGCATACGCTTGTTTCGCCGATAGACGTGCGCCTTGTAACGATGGAGATATATGAAACACGTGTCTGTGTACCGAGATATCGAGATACAAGATCGCGAGGAGACTCATACAGCCTGTCTCTATCCATCCTTCTTCTCTCTCCCGCCCTCCCTCCCCCTTTTCTAGTTTCCTTTATGCGTCTGGATCGAGGCAGAGTCTACTGTTATCGACCGTTATCGATTGTACAAAAAAAAAAAAAAAAAAAAAAAAAAAAAGAAGATAAATAAATAAAGATAAAAAAAGAAAAGAAAAGAAAAAAGAAAAAAGAAAAGGAAACGTTGTAATCCTTCATTCGCAAAGATTTTCATGGGTTGCAACGAGAACACTTTGCTCGACCACCCTGATGATGAAGCCTAGCTAACCGAGTCCATTCAATACCGAAGGACTCGACGCGATGGCATTTTATCCGCCGTAAAAGTGGCTCGTTACACGCCCACGAGATAATCGAGTCATCGAACGGTCCACGGAAAAGAAGAAAGAAGAAGCTTCATCCTACGTGTCGGAGCTGTCGCCGAGAGAGAGAGAGAGAGAGAGAGAGAGAGAGAGAGAGAGAGAGGGGGGAGAGGGAGGGAGAGAGAGAGAGGAGTTCGCAAAGAGCCCGGGGCGTAACTCGCAGTTAGAGCCGAGGACGATAACATCTCCAGACGGTCATTCCTCCTATACTCAGACGGTGGTACTCGAGGAGAGCTCAGGAGCGTGCATCAACAAGGAGCAAGATGAGGATGACGAAGAAGATGCAGAAGCAGAGGAAGAAGAAAACAAGGATGACGAGCGACGACGAGCGACGACGAATATCTTTTTCTTCTTTTTACGCTCTACCCTCGG